GACTGGAACAAAAATGTCCACTCAACGAAAAAGCGCTCCACAACGGATGACCCTGCAACACCAGCGGATGGTCCCGCGTCATCAGTACCATCAGTTCAAACCAATAAGTCGCTAATGAGGAGCGAGGTTATCAGTGAGGGAACGGGTGGTAAAAGCATAAGCGAAGATTTGGATGTGATAATTGTGCCAAAGTGGAAAAAAATACTGAAAACAGTAAGCACCAAAAAAGAACTGCACGAAAGCATAAATCCGAAAATTAGCGGAAACAAAGCAGTGCTTAGGAATACTGCTCAAATAAGTGGAGCAAAGATTAGAGAAGGATCTGATTATACAACAGTTGAAATTTTGACTAAAGGAGTTCGTCGTGAATCACACTCCACACAAAAAGAAAAGGCAGATTCTGAGCAGATTTCGACCAGAAATCCAGCTGAATCTGCAGAAGGCAAAGAAGATTCTGCAGTATCTCAGACTCAGAAAGTTTTTGAATCAACAAGACCAAACGATCACGAAAGGTCCTCCGAGAAACTGTTTACTTCAGCAGCGCCGATGGAATCTCCAGATTCTATAAATCCTCCATTAGGAGAAGAATTCGTAACAGTAGCAGCATCATCATTCAGAAGTGTCGATTATGCCACAAAAAGAAATAAGACAACGGCACTTCAAAAAAACGAAGAGGAAAACAAGCGGAAGAAGGCGAAAAGCAAATTTCAGGATAGCGGAAGTGATTCAGTTTCTGAAAAAATTTCGACAAAGAGTGGCAGCTCAAAGGAAGAAGGTGAAACTGAAACGCAAAATCCAATAGGTAAAACAGTGCCTTGTTTTTTCATTCCTCCTCATTCTTGCAAAATTCAAAGCCTTTAGCAAAGTTCTATCACGAATGAAGTAACTGTTCGGGCATTTCTAGAAGAAACTGTTTAAATTTCTAGGATACCAAAAAACTCAAACATTTCTTCCTATTTTCTTTTCTGGGGCAAACTTAAGAACTCGAATTCTTTCGACTGTTGGCACCTTGCTAACACAGCTAGTAATGCTGTTGGCGGTTCTTTCTTCCGAGAGTTGTTCCAGAAGCAGAATAAATTTAGTACATATTCTTGTCTCACTACGCACATCAAAATCAGGGATTCACAAAGAAAACTAGAAGTGAACGCAACTGATCAGTACGGTAAATGTGAAAAGACACGTCAGATGCTGAAAGAAGTAACGCACCTTTTTGTCCTTTTAGCATTGTTGAAAAGGACAAGTTAGAAAACCATAGCTTAAAATTCTAAAATTTCTTCAATTTTCAAATCCTCACACACAACTTGAAAACCACTTTTTCCTGGAATTATCCAGTTTCCAATCAATTTTAGATTCGGAAGAAGATGACAGTTTTGATGGGGAACTTTACGGTGAAACTGATGGAATAAAGGAAAACAAAATTGGCGATATTCCTGACAACGAACTGGATTCAAAAATGGATGGTTCCGGAGAGGCACCCGAACAGTTGACTAAGAATGACGTCTTTGAGATCCCTGAAGCAGATTCGGAGGAAATGGATGAGGGCGAGTTCGGCAATGGTAAAGTATTAGCGCTCGCTTTCTTTGAATTTAACATTTACAATACGCTGCTTTTATCGCTAAAACGTACTAAACATAGGTAAACTTCAGTTTTTGCTTTGTTTGCTTCTTTTATTGGAGCACCAACGCCAAAGCTAGTACTTTTCGTATGCAAAGGAAACCTTACGCAAAAAAAGTCAGCTTACGCATCAGTTCACATAACGAAAGTCGGCTTCTGTACAGACATTCACCAGATACTTTAATACTTTACTCGGTTGTTATCGCGTTTCTTCTCGCAACTGATTTAGC